TGGCGGCGTTCTGCATTCTGACAGAGGCGGCGTCAGTCTGTGGTATGACGCAGAATCGGCGGGTGTGGCCAGACAGGCAGCGGACGCGGTGTGCAATACGACAGACTGGCGGTGTGTGCTTCATTACAGAACGGTTGAAGTCTCCGGTCTGTCTGAACAAAGTGTGGTAGATGGTACCAGCGGTCCGTAGCCAGTCAGCCGGCAGTGGTGTCGTCTTTTGAGCTCGACCAAATTATCCTGCCGAAGTTAATGGCATTTTTCACCAGACAGCTTCCTTCCTGCTTAGCCCCTCAAGACTGCGGGCGGCCCTCTCAGCCTAAAAGAGTAATTGGATGAATCAGGTAAGAAAGTACGCGAAAGAAGGCTAGACACTTAGTCAAAATTGAGCTCCCAGCGTGACTGAGGCGCGCCTGCGTGCAGCACAGCAGGAATGCATCAATACGCTCAACCAAATGGGACTGGGGTTGGGCCTCTTCACTCCACTCATCACGGTAACGTACAGAAGTGTTTCGTCTGCCAACCAGGCGAGAAAAACGAACCGTATCCGAACGACGTTAGCTTCCCTCCTCCGCAGGCGTGCGCGTAATGATCCCACTTTTGAACCGGTTCCCGAGCACAACCTCTGTCGCCTGAGGTGTGGTCAGTTCTTTCTGTAGATAGTACATGACCCAGTCTTCACGACGAGTGGCCGGTTACACCAACCCAATCAAGGCGATAGGGCTGTGAACAAAAAGCAGACCACTGATCGACCAATCGGTGGAATTACCAAGCTTGGGCCGGCGGTAATTAATGACAAAGAAATGGCCACATATATATTGAAGGATATCATAAATGCATTTTCGGTACACAGATGACAATCAAAATAATGGCTGAAAAACGAGACATGTCAGGTGGGGCGAGTAATTCCCACCAGCTTTTTTGGGAATTGACCGACTCTCATTTTGCCGGGGAAAGACGTTCATGCCAACAGACTTATCGCGTCATCATCTTCACCATTATTCGGCAGTAAACTGAGCAGAACTAGCACCTAATGGATTATGAGTGTTTACATATCTTGCGCTCAATACTCTTCTTCTTCCTGGAGGGATTGGGGGTGATGGAAGATTCTCGAAGAGCGAAAAGTGTAGAAGGCTGCTACCTACTATCTTTATCAAAGGCATCTTTATTACACTTCATTACCACGTCTACACAGTGAAAACATCCCAAAGCTACGGTCACTGTTGCAATGCATGTAGCTTCCACCTGGTGGTAGCTTCATATTCACTGCGCTTAGCCAGTACCGCTATTGCGGAAAACAGAAAGCGAAGAAAACAATATCGATGCTCGCGATTGTTTGGAGTTGAGAAGCTTATTTTAAATACAAAAGCTTTCAATGAACACATGAATGAGAAAAAGTGGTTGACATGATGTTAAAGATGATGCAACTACGTAAACTAAGACGAAGTCAAGCACTGAGATAATTTTTAAAACAATTTAGCTATTCAACTTAGAATTATGACTAATTTCAACCATCTTGTGTCAGGTACGAAGGTCAGATCAAGTTCAAACCCAAACCACTATGCCACTGATAACATTGATTTTAAGGTGGCTTCTCACGCTTACTTTGAATTCCTGGATCATAGCGACATAAAATTATTTCTTATTTTTACTTTACGAAGAGCAAGGAAGGTCACTAACCTAAAAGTACTTTGATGCCGCCTTTTTCTTTGAGGAGCTCATATCGTGGGGTAGTACTTGGTGCGAATTGCAAATTGAAATGCCAAAATAATAAGGTTTAGTCATTCTTACTTTTATATTCAAATATGGCCTCCGACTTGATATGAGCTCTAGTAACACCCTGCTTATGAAGGCCATCTGGGTTAAGGCTGGTTGTGTGAGGTGGTCTACGTGTATTTCGGACACCGTTCGGGAGTTCGGAAATTGTTTACCTTATTTGATTCGAAGGTCACAAACTAAGGACATACAAATGTGACACAGGTGAGCTGGTATAAAGCGCTATCTACCCTTAGAATCTTGTGTTTTTAGCTTTCTTAAGTTATAGATTGTAAGTGGGCCGAATAATCCCCCCCTACCATCACTCGAGCTCGACACTTGGCTGAAACTACACCACATGGGTTCGTATTCAGGGACCAAAGCGCAGCTGTTTTTGTGGATGGACTCAATGTTGTTTGCTAGTTTTGTTAATCTTTTACTGAATATTTGCAGAACAGCAGGCATGCCGAAAGGGACGGTGTAACTTCTTCCAGTAGACATCGAGCTTTTATGAGAGCGCAGGCTGTAGCTGACACATAGGATAGTTGTCACAAAGCTCACATATAAGCGCGTAGATGTCAGAAAACCAAAACCCTCAGCAGCCATAAGCTTGTGTTACCGCTAGTCCCCGGGGATAGTTTGTGCTGTGGTGCGCCTGGAAGTGACAAGCAGGCTCATGTCGGAATCCTACGGTTATTTAGGGTTATTTAAGTTATATCTAATCGTTGTAAAAAAAACGGTGGTTTTAATGTCTTTGATTAATATTTTGAAACGACACTGTACCCATTTGTGCTTATTCCTTCTGCATTTTGTATTTTTCTCCTTGCATTAAATACAACTAACGCATATGAGCTCTCTTAGCTTTGCCTGTAAATATAAAATCATCGCTGAAGAGAGTACCAGTTTTTAAACGATATGTGACTATCATAAGTGTTTCACGCGGCAGCTCATCTTGGCACAGGTCACACTGCCACACAACATGTTGTTTTATATGTCATCCTATCCGGACACGCATAAAGCCGCGGGGAACCACCCTTGCTCACAGATGCACAAACGAAAACAGATGGCCATAATGTGTAATGGCCATATGGTCAGTATGGCACATCATGATAAAGAAAAAAACATTGAATGCAATGGAATACAATCAATCAAATCCAGCAGTGCACATATCTCAATCACAAGTAAGGCAACAGTATATCACAAACTACTCCATATCACAAAATACCAGCATCGGCAATGCATATGATACATTGTCGAGTACAAAGCGTGCCAACCATCCCACTCCCCCCGCTCTGAAAATATGTGGTAGTTCTCTGAATACTGTGCATTTGTGAAATCACGTTTCTTACCCAGATCAAAAACAGCATGGGGTATGGCAAAGTTGATATTAGCTTAACTCCGCGTCCGGTGTGGCCCGGACCGGGTAAAATGGTGAGCCCTGACCCGTGTTGCCGGCCTGGACCCAATGCTGCAAAGCCTGGTCTGCAGCACGAGCGGAGTGATGGTGGGCGGGCAGAGGTCAGCCACAGGCGGGGTGGCCCGCAGCCCGACAGAGAGCAAAATGTTCTGCTATCAGGCAAGGAGGGTGGTGGAACAGAACGGGATCCAAGATCCGTAGTTCCGCAGAAAGGCCAGTGGCCTGAGGTCTGAAAAAAATGGTGGAGACATGTGGTCTGAGAGCTTATCTCTGCAGTCGCTCTATTTCAGACATGTAGTCTAGCAGGGAACGGCGGTTGTCTGTAGTCTCACAGAGAGCGACGGTGATCCGTGTGGCCTGTAGTCTAACGGGGAGTGGTGATGGTCTGTAGTTTAACGGGGAGCGGTGGTGGTCTGTGGCCTAACGGGGAGCGGCGATGGTCTGCATTTTAACAGGGAGCTGCGATGGTCTGTAGCCTAACGGGGAGTGGTCATGGTCTGTAGTCTAATGGGGGGGGGGGGGGGGGCGATAGTCTGTAGTCTAACGGGAAGCGGCGGTGGTCTGTATTTTAACGGGGAGTGGCGATGGTACATTATCTGACAGGGAACGGCTATGTTCTGCAGTCTGACAGGAAGTGGCGATGGTCTGTAACGTGGTCTGTAGTCAGCCGAGGAGCGGTGGTGGTAGTTCGCCTGGGAGCTGAGGTGGTCTGTGGTGTGGTCTTTAGTCCATCTGAGAGCGACAGTGGTCTGTAATGTGTTCCGTAGTCCGCCGGAAAGCGACGGTGGTCTGCAGCGTGGTCTGTAGTCAGCCGAGGAGCGGTGGTTGTAGTTCGCCGGGGAGCTGAGGTGGTCTGTGGTGTGGTCTGCAGCTCGCCGGAGAGCGGCAGTGGTCTGTTATGTGGTCTATAGTCCGCCGGGAAGCGGTGGTGGTAGTTCGCCTGGGAGCTGGGGTGGTCTGTGGTGTGGTCTGCAGCTCGCCGGAGAGCGGCAGTGGTTTGTTATGTGGTCTATAGTTCGCCTGGGAGCTGAGGTGGTCTGTGGTGTGATCTGCAGCTCGCCGGAGAGCGGCATTGGTCTGTTATGTGGTCTATAGTCCACCGGGAAGCGTTGTTGGTAGTTCGCCTGGGAGCTGAGGTGGTCTGTGGTGTGGTCTGCAGCCCGCCGGAGAGCGGCAGTGGTCTGTTATGTGGTCTATAGTTCGCCTGGGAGCTGAGGTGGTCTGTGGTGTGGTCTGCAGCTCGCCGGAGAGCGGCAGTGGTCTGTTATGTGGTCTATAGTTCGCCTGGGAGCTGAGGTGGTCTGTGGTGTGGTCTGCAGCACGAGAGCAGAGCATGTGGTCTGTTATTGTTCTATAGTTCGCCTGGGAGCTGAGTGGTCTGTGGTGTAGTCTGCAGCTCGCCGGAGAGCGGCAGTGGTCTGTTATGTGTTCTATAGTTCGCCTGGGAGCTGAGGTGGTCTGTGGTGTAGTCTGCAGCTCGCCGGAGAGCGGCAGTGGTCTGTTATGTGGTCTATAGTTCGCCTGGGAGCTGAGGTGGTCTGTGGTGTGGTCTGCAGCTCGCCGGAGAGCGGCAGTGGTCTGTTACGTGGTATATAGTCCGCCGGGAAGCGGTGGTGGTGGTTCGCCTGGGAGCTGAGGTGGTCTGTGGTGTGGTCTGCAGCCCGCCGGAGAACGGTAGTGGTCTGTTATGTGGTCTATAGTCCGCCGGGAAGCGGTGGCGGTAGTCCGCCGGGCGGTGGCGCAGCCGCGGCGTCACGGCTGACCGCCCACCGCTGCCGCCGCCGCCGCCGCCCGCCCGCCAGGTGGAGCGCCGCTGCCGGCGCGGGCGGACGTCTGTGCTGCCGGCTCCTCGGACCGCACCACGCAACTGCCGCCGTCACCGTCGCCGCCGCCTCCTGGAATAGCTACAGTGCTGCTCGATCCCTGCACATGCGGTGAGGACCGTGGCGGGATGGCCACTGGAGCGGGCGCTGTCGCGCGTCGGCGTGTGGCAGCGCCGATGACGTGACGTGACGGGACAGGACAGTGCGTGACGGACGGCGTGACTGTCGAGCGGCGCACGATAGCGGGGCAGGGTCGACCCCGGCGGAAGTGGGCCCGTGCGCCGCCCGGCAGGGGACGGTCCTGCACACCTGTCTAATTTGACCGTGGACCGGATGGGGCGTTTAATTCACCCCACCGCGTCGTGCCAAAGCGAGGCAAGGCCTTGCTCTATTTACCAGGTAGAACGGGAAGGCGCATGCGCGCGGTGTTAGCTGGTGCTGGGTTAGGAACAGACCGTTAAGGGCGATAACGCTGTGAGCGGGGTTTCAAAACGCGTTGGCTGTCGTGGAGCTGGAAGGCTGGGTACATGGTTCCGATGCCACTGGCTCCGCCGTGGGTCAGACTTTGAGATGTGACGTCGGAGTTCTGGGTGTTTCTTAACAGAGTTCCGCAAAACTTGGGAGACTAGTGCCGAGTTTCCGCCCTTATGGTGGAGCTGGGGCGCACTGCAGTCGTGTGTATGAGCCGGTGCGGTCGCTGCGCGGTCAGTAATCCGACTCACCATGCAGCGCCGCCGCAGCTGCACCAGTTTTTGTGTAGAGCGCTAAGCTGCACCGTTCTGGTACGACGGGGTTTTTGGCCCCGGTGCTGCTGCCCGCTTAGCCGCGCCAGCGCGACAGGCTCGCTGCACGCTTCCACAGGACATTCTGCTCAGCAGCGCCGGCGGGAACGAGCCCGCTGACGCGACAGAGGCGCCGGTGACGGCAGTCAAGCGGGTTAAGCGTCCATGTGTTGGGGCATGACGCCGGGTGTCCAGCGCCAGCCGCAACTACGCCGTCTTCCGTGACCGGGCAGTGACGCTGGGCGCTGTCGGGGCACCCCCGCGCATCGGCGGATGACGGGTGTTGTGAACGCCGCGCCGGGCTGCCGCCGCCGTGCTGGATGACTGTGACCGGCACGCTCCCAGCGCCCGCCACAATGGAGGCTGGGCGCGGCTCGTTTCCGTGCCGCGCCGTCGTGCTGTCCGGGTCGGCGCGGCAGCTCGCCGCCAGAATGGCTGCCAGTGGAGGCTGAGACCGCGGCTCGCTGTAGCCGCGGCGACGCTGCCGCGGGAGGTCAGATGTCACACAGCAGAGGTAAGCAGCTGGGGAGCGGGCCGCCGGCCAGCCAGTCGGCCGGTCCGTCGCTCACCCAGCCACGCCCCCTAACGCTGACCTTCGGTTCCAGAACGGCCGGCCTGCTCCATGGACACCGAACTGCAGGTGCAGTAGCGGGACGACCCTCATCCGCGCCCAGTGCCGACGTAGGCCCTGACAGCACCCGGGACTGGCGCAGCCCTCCTTAGTACCGGTAGTTGGAGCACACCCGGGCGGTCCTGAAGCTGAGACAGCTCCAGCCAACGCTGGAGACTGATGCGGACACCTCCATGGGCACCGTAGTTTCCACATTTCCGGCACCGGTGCCTTCAGCAGCTCCTCAGCCGCCGCCAGCCGGACGCCGGTAGTCGAGGACTAGAGTTCGCTCGCCCGTTCTCCCTGCCACCAAAGTCCTGTTGGCCACGCCGGCGCGGTGACGGCAGCTTGCCGACCAGCGGTGCTGCAGCACGGCAGTGCAGAGTAGCACACCGGTGCACTGCAGGATTGCAGTGAAGTGCCGCTCTGTTGTGCGGCAGTGCCGCAGTGCAGTGGTGCAGTATAGCGGTGCAGCGCAGTGGTGCAGTGTAGTTGTGCAGTGTAGGGGTGCAGTGTAGTGCAGTGCGTCGGCAGCAACGACGCAACGATGGTTGCCGCGCGCTGAGTAAAGGCAGAGCTTCTGGTGAGCCGGCAGCACCTGAACGGAGCTCCTGGTGAGCCGGCATCACCTGAACAGTCATGGGTAAACAGGTGAGTCAGGCGGCGTGCATGCTGTGCTAGAGTATGCTTCGAGGTACTTGCACCTTTGCTTGTATGGCGCGCATGCGCATTGGGCTGTTTGCTTATTTGTGTATTGGTATTTGCTGAGTAACATGTTGAGACCCGCTGCAGCTGAAGTCAACAGATAACACACAACAGTGTACAGTTGAGAGTAACAATGATCGGGAAAATGAAACAAAAGACATAAGATGTGCCCAAAATACACTGACGTAGGCAGATACATGGCACAACATAAAATTATTTACACAACGTGGGAGTGAGCCCAAAACGGCTTAAGACAAAAAATTGCCAGAAATTCATAGACATAGTAAGCGCGTGTCGCAAAACCTGAAATGTAAAACGACGTCTGCTTCACGTGAAATTAGAGTTTCAATCTCAAGAGCCCAGATATGTCATGGAGGTGCTCGGTGGGGTATACAGACACAAAAATGTTCGACCATGACTGTGTTCGAGAAAGACAGAAAATTTTTGCTTAGTGGAGCATGGGGCCCGCGTTTAAACACCGCTCCTGACGGTTTCTTTTTGACATGAGCCACGTGGAGAAGCGTGCTGGTAGTGAATCGCCTGAACCGGTTTGGGACATGCAGCGGGCAACTCCTGGGTAGTTAAAAACTCGGGGATATCAAAAAAGGATAGTCCACTTTTCCAAAAATTAAAAATATTATGCACATAAGCCATGCTGTCATCTTCTATGTGCCACTGAGGTGACCTTAAACATTGCAGCCAGTCTGAGTGAGCTGGGTATTTTGGTAGGCCGCGCGTCCATGTAGAACCTAGTCAGACAGGCAGATTATTCTGAGTCCTATGGAGACGATCAAGCTGCGTCTTTGATGCTTCTACACATATAACACTCATGATTGTACTAAGCAGATCGCTGACCAACAGGACGCAGAGCCAGTTACAAAATACTACCTTATGATGTTCCGGACGTAGTCGCCGTCCACTCCGATCTTTGGCTATTTACGCCGTCTCTCTCCTTTCGGCTCGTGAGATTAGAAATAAGAGATAATAAATTGTTATGCTGAGGTAATGTGTGTGATCAGGATTATTACAAAACTGATCGGTAGTAAATGTCAGGCGCGTGGCCGATAGAAAATGTTCTGAATCCATGCGGATTGCTGGCTAGTAAGAGGATGCCAGTACCCATCATTCGATCTCCACAATCTGACCTACACATGGGACGCACGCGATACTCCATGCACGGCGAGTGATGCAGTGAGTGGGAGCTTCTTGGTATCTTCTCATTGGCCGGATCTGCATGAGTTTGGAACGTTCCCTGCCATTCATGCGTCTTAGGATTTGCGTTACAATTTTATGCGAGACCTTGTTCAAGCGTGACCATCAGGGCTGTCACAAAGGTGCGCAGATTGTTCAGTGCATTTGCGCGGAGCATTATTCACATACTTAAGACAGTAGCAATAGCCTTATTCCTCGGAGAAAGACGGGGAGAATGGAGATATAGTTGGGTACTACTGTCTTAATGTATTTGTTAGAAAAGTCGAGCATTTTGAAAATGCCCTAATGTCTGCTTGATGTCTTCGTTTACCAGACGTTTTAAAGATCTTGCTAGTTCTGAGGTTGATACAACTAACCTCCAGCCATACCAAAAGATACTGACTTGACGAGAACACGTTAGCATACATAATTGAAATGTTCGACGTGCTAAGAAAAAAAGCAAGGATGCACCTAAGACATGATTTCGGGCTGTGGCCAAGGGCAAGCTGCTCGCGACTTTCCTCCACTGCTCACGGCTTTCTCCCATTGTTCATGACTTTCCTCCAATGCTCACGGCTTTTCTCCATTGCTCACGGCTTTCCTCCACCACTCAGGGCCTTTCTCCACTGCTCACGGGTTTCCTCCGCTGCTCACGGTTTTCCTCCACCGCCGACGGCTTTCCTCCACTGCTCACGGCTTTGCTCCACTGCTCACAGTTTTCCTCCACTGCTGACGGCTTTCCTCCACTGCTCACGGGTTTGCTCCACTGCTCACGGTTTTGCTCCACTGCTCACGGCTGTCCTCCACTACTCAAGGCTTGGCATTGTTGTCGTTGCTGGCTTGATGTCGTCAGACACCGTTGTGTGTGGCGTAGATTGGCAAGGTTGATTAAATACGGTAAAAAAAACATAGGCAGTAATTGCCTAAGGCTCCCATTGTTTGGATTTACATCACACGCAGCCAAATTAAAAGCTCCTCATGGACGGCGACGCCCGCTAAATTTTCATCGCCCGGTGCCAACATTGTGCGGGGAATTCCGTTCCTATGGAAGGGCAGTTGAAAACCGACGAAGACACATGCGAGCTTGCGCCACCTCGAGGAGAGTGTGCGCCGCTGCGACCGCAGCGGGCGCGGACTGCCAGATGGAGCCGTCCGCGGCGCACCGTACGCGCGCCGGGCGGCGCAGCTGACGCACGCCGGCGCCGTGCTGCGCCAGCAGCGCCGCCGCAGCACCGGCCAGACGCGCCGGGCGTCACGCCGGCGGCGGGATTACGTGGCGCGGAAACGTCATCTGATTGTACACGCGTGTTGGGTCCGTCGCTTGCCGTTGTGCAGATATGCTGGAGCCAGTCAGCTGCATGTAGGCAAAAGGACGCGCGCACGTGTCCAGACGTGGTCAGCTCATCACTGGCGTGCCAGCATTCTGTGGCCTTACATGGTTTTTGGGAGGCTTTTGACAAGCGCCTCCCGACTTTGGACATAAGCAGCTAGGCGACAGAGTGTTTGCGGATTTTGCGGCCCGCGCATGCTCAACATGAGCTGCTTTGGGTGTTTGACTGCCTGGAACTATTCTGTTTGAATTATTTTGTCAAAAACATCGCTAGAAACCTCGGTTTACACCACGCATTTTCACGTTTTTTCGCGGATAAATCACAATCACCCATCACAAATGACCAGCAAGGCGCAGATGTTTGTCAGCAGTCAACAATGAGCAATTTTGAACTTCAACCGACGGTTGACGACGTCCATTACCCACAAATTCCATGCTTGTTCACCTTTCGTAAAGTGGCCTTCGCCGCGTCGCCTCAAATGGTGGCATCATTTCAATTGTGGCACAGAAAGACAGCTTTTGAGCATGTCAACACGCTTCATTGTGCGCGTCAAAATTTAACCATCTCCCTTGAAGGAAGATATCCCTTTTTCCTCCCCAGCGCTATGTTCTTAAAACAGGCCCTGTTGAATGGGTCCTGGCGTGCCGTTGGAGCAACCAGTCTCCATTTTGCCACGGCTCTCACTATATAACTTTTACTATATCGTGCATATAAACAATGCCATTCTCCTCCCCCACCTGATTCACAAGGTCATTCACGCAGTGGTTACTTTATTGTAGCGACATTGGGGGGGGGGGGGGGGGCTATTATTCGGAATCGCCTGGGCACAGTCTCTGTCAGTTTAAACCACAGCTGTTTTCCTCTTGAACATTGACCGGCACAGGTAACGGGTCAGTCCGGCCTTGCACGCCCAGATCCCCGGCTCGGACCAGGCCAGGCGGGTACGGCGCTGGAAGTGGCATTCGTCCTTGTGGTGTTTGTTGGTCGCCTGTTAATCCACCAGCTCTGGGAGCTGGAGAGCGGTGAATAAGCGGGTGGGAGAACCCACTACACTGGCACGGCTTCCATCGCGCCTGCTTCGCGGCCTCGTCTGAGGAAGCTGTCAGTTCGGAGAGCCGAAGGCGGGGAGCCAATACACTGCCACGGCTTTCACCGTGCCCGCTTCGCGGCCTCGTCTGAGGAAGCTCTCTACGGTGTCGTCCGGCGAAAGAAAGATCGGGACTCCCGACCGCACGAGTCTTTGCCACCTCGGCGGCAGAGACTCGTCCGTCTGTCCTTGTCCGGAAAGTCCGGACCTGACCAGATGGACTGACACGCTTGGAGTGTCAGCTCATGTCAGAGACAGAGAGAGAGAGAAAGAGAGAGAGAGAGAGAGGGAGAGAGAGATGAGAGAGAGAGAGAGGGAGAGAGATGAGAGAGAGAGAGAGGGAGAGAGAGAGAGAGAGAGATGAGAAAGAGAGAGAGAGAGAGGGAGAGAGATGAGAGAGAGAGAGAGAGAGAGAGAGAGAGAGAGAGAGAGAGAGAGAGAGAGAGAGAGAGAGAGAGAGAGAGAGAGAGAGAGAGAGAGAGAGAGAGAGAGAGAGGAGAGAGAGAGAGAGAGAGAGAGAGAGAGAGAGAGAGAGAGAGAGAGAGAGAGAGAGAGAGAGAGAGAGAGAGAGAGAGAGAGAGAGAGAGAGAGAGAGAGAGAGAGAGAGAGAGAGGAGAGAGAGAGAGAGAGAGAGAGAGAGAGAGAGAGAGAGAGAGAGAGAGAGAGAGAGAGAGAGAGAGAGAGAGAGATACAGGAAGTTTGCAGCACGTTAGAAA